ATTATAGTTCAATATATATAAGACACATCCAGTATTGTGTTCCTGATAGCAAGTGCATAGATTTTGTTAAGATATCATTTTTTTATATTAAATTTATTATTATTATTTATTATTATTATTATTATCCATTACCCAGTAGCACGTTTCATGATCACACGAAGGGGATACTCCCGGGTGATTTCGCTAAGAGCATGAGAGGAAAAAAAAACAGAACACAGCAAAGTAGTGAAAACTACAACAGAGATGAGGAACAGAAACGACCAGGCAAACTACTAGTACAGTCGATTCCTGATAAGTGAATAACCTGATTGCTGGCTCACAATGCTGTATTCACTTATCAGGAACGATTCTCTGGAGCTGCGGGGCCGGGTGCCCCGGTGAGGCCCGCGGCTGCGTCGCATGGAGGGGCTCGTTTGAGTTCTTTTAGTTTTGCTCCCCTCCTCATGGTTGAAATTGCAGGAGAAAAAAATAAGAAACCATTATCTTTCAGCCCTGAGTATTTAAAAGAAAGCTGACTATGGTATTAAGCCTTTCCCCCGCCTCCCCCCATCGCCTGGATGGTATTTTTGGACCTTCTGCGAGGTTCTAGTTTTCTTTCCTAAGTTGGCCAGGTTGGGAAAAATCCCCAAACACTGGGAAAAAAATAAAACATTCCCAGCGAGCAAATCTGAGGGATCATTGGGGCATCCTGAACTGTAGGAGCTGGGAAAATGTTCCCTGAGCTGGAAAGAGCAGCTCGAAGGTTGGCCCAGGCCCAGCGCCCGGTGCTGCTCCTGGCTCAGATCACAGAGCTGCTCAAAGCACAGCGTGGCACTGAGGCCGCGGGACCAAGGACCATTCGTGTGCATCAACTAGTCGCCTTTTGTGCTCGCTGAGGAATGTAGGGGGGAAAAAAATAAGGAGAAAAAAGGGATAAAGGGGGGAAAAAAAGAAAACGGAGGGAGAAGGTTAAAAAAAAGGGGAAAAAAAAGAAAAAAAGAAAAAAAAAAGGCAAAACAAAACAGGCCAACTCTGGAACCACCTGAGAAGGTCAGGATTCTCCAACGCGGGGGCCGCTGCGCTGGCGGATACTGAGTGTGGGGGGCCGCGGGGATCTGGGGGCACCGGGACTTTGTGCAAAGCCCTGGGGTGGCAGGGCCGCTGCCGGAGGGGACACTGGGGCTGCGGGGGGCACTGTCCACGGAGGGGGGGTTCTCATAAGAGCACTTTTAAGTGGTCTTCGATTCCTGAGCATCACGGAGAGCGGGGCGAAGGCAAGGGCCGGGGCGTATGGCTTGGATCCCAGAGAGCACCTGCGAGCGCTGCTCTCTCCTCCTGGGGTTTTGGTTTGGTTTTGGCTTTTTTTAATGTGTGTGGGTTTTTTTTTTTGTTTTGTTTTTTTTTCCCCCCTCTCCAAATCATAAGGTCTGTACCTGGGATTGGACTGAGAGGCGGCAGAGACTTTTTGTAAACCAGACCGACATGTGTTTGCTTTGATTTCGCGTGGTGGACACCAGTTGGGGGAGAGCAGAGAGACACTCGTAAGAAAAAAAAATAATTATATATATATAAATAAGAAATAATAATAATAATAAAAAGCTAACTGTTAAAAAAAAAAAAAAAAAAGAGAGAGAAAAAGTGCTATGGCATCTTCCTTTTGGGGTCATACAACACGTCCATGCAATGTCCATGCTGCACCCTCATGGCTAAACCACCCCCCTTCAACGTGGAGGAGTTTCTTTCCCCTCCAAATTTACTTTTTATTTTCAGCTTCCACTGATTTCAAGAGGAAAAAAATCTGCCTGTGTGCTCACTTGGACTGTTATTTTTAAAAAAATTCTTATATGTATAACTGCACTTAACAAACTTGCTCACCCAGTGGGTTAAATATATATATTCTAAATATATATATATTTACCTTCCCTGGCTCTTGCAGCCCTAGTTAGGCCATGATTTAGTTTACAAGGAGCCTAATGCCATATGCCGTCAGATCACTGTGTGGTTGGGAAGCATCCCGAGGCTACMCCCTGCTTTTCTTCCATGGTTCAGAGGCTTTTGGGAAGGAGCAGCAGAGAACTTGAGCATTTTYTTTTACGGACTAGGAAGACTTGAGCTCCCTAATCCGCACTTTTCCAACTGGCTACCCAAGAGGCAGCTCCGCTGCACCTCGCCAGGGCAGGCACCCGAAAGGCTTCCCGCTCGGATGCGTTATCCGAGGGATAAGGCATGGGGAGGGAGTGGGAAAGAGAGAGAGAAAGTGAGAGAGAGAGAGTTAAAAAAAAAAGAAAAAAAGAAAAAAAGAAAAAAAAAGAAAAAAAGAAAAAAAGAAAAAAGAAAAAAAGAAAAAAAAAAAAAGAAGAAACCAAAGAAATCAGAGAGCGGCTAAAATGCTCGAAGCCTCCCTTGCCCCCCCAATCAGCTATTCACTTAGGTGGAATCGACTGTAGCTTTTGTACACAACCAACAAATAGAGAGAATAAAAGGGAAAAAAAAAAGAAATAAAGGAAAGAAAAAGGAAAAAATAACAGGGACGTGCAACAGTGAGGTGTGCAGATGTATTACCAACACAGAATGACCACCAACGATACGACACACAAAGTAGAGAGACAAGTATTAGGAAAATGGTTTAATATTGGAGACAGAAGCAAAAAACTGCATCACACAATAACATACGTTACAAAAATAAGTCTGACTTGTTTCAACTACACGGTTATGTTCACAATGAGGACAGGAGAATCAGAAAAACTCTGATCTAAACAGCAAAAAAGCAAACCCCTAACGGCTTTAACTAATACATTTATCCACGCAAAGTGACCGAGTACTCCTAATTCTAATTACCTTATTGTGTAACTGCACGATACAGAATAAAAAGTGTAACTTACCGCTTTTGTTTTTTTGTTCTTTTTTTTTTGATTTTTTTTAAGACAAAAATCTAAACACTAGATATAAGCAAAGGGAAAAAAGAAATCAAGCCAAAGTTTTTAATTCTCTAAACAAAACCAACTCTCTTCCAACCGTCCAGAAATCAAACTTGAAAATCAGTCGTGATCAAGGGGGCCCACGAGAGTAAGCCACAAAAATTTCCATTTGTTTTTTAATCTCCAGTATAAAAAGTTCCACTGGTACAAAATGCATAAGTACAATCAAGTTGTAGAAATAGGAAAGCCTGCTTTTTTTTTCTTTTTTTCTGTTTTTTTTTTTTTTGGCTCAAATTCCATCAAACAACAAAATCCAAATGCATCAATAAAACAGAAACAATACTCAAATGGTCTTACAGTTTCCACTAGACTGCATTAACTTTGGCTTTTCTCAGACAATACTTAAAAACTAGTTCGTAATTCTAAACAAAATGATAATATTCTTAATCTACAAACAACAATTCCCACAGCACAAAAAGAACACAAATACATAGGCTTTTTTTTTGTTGTTTTGTTTTGTATGACATTATCCAAAAAGGTAATGAAACTACAGGATATTTTTTTTCTTTTGTTAATTAGCACTTAAGATAATAAAAACAGAAACAGTAAAATGATTCCAGAGTAGCACAAGCCAAGGAACTGTAACCCCTATGGTGAAAGAAAGATGAACTTGTTACTCCTTTGAGGACTGCCATTTCATTGCAATTAGCTAATTTACTTGAAAAAAAAAGGAAAAACAACTAGTCTAGGCTTTTGATTAGAATTTTGTAAAGCAATTTCCCTTGTTTTATTTGTTTGCTTTTATTTTTCTAGTTTCTTCCTCTCTTATTAGGCCCTTGCACCCTTGCAGCTTTTTCCTTTCAGTATTTTTGAAGAAGAGAACGGGCGGGTAATTTGCCTCCCCACTGGGGTACGTTGGTTTTTTTTTTTTTTTTTTTTTTTTTNTTTTTTAACTATTTTATTTTAGTTTTTGGTGTCCAGGCAGGCCCTTTTCCTGGTGAACCGCTCTGGTGCCCACGGCGCCGGCGAACCCTGGGGCCGCCCCACGAGAATGAAAACCTCGGGGAATTGATACGGAGGGGAGGACGAGGAGAAATCCAGGAAAACAGTCTAAACAATCCGAATGATGAGCTCATGTTATATATATATATATATATATGTACATATATATAATATAACGCACGTGAGATGAAAGTTCGACTACGCAAAGATTGCTGCAAGTAGTACAAAATAGCCCTCAAAGGGTGTAGGAAGGCCCCAGCAGTAGTAAAAACACGTGAGAAAAGTAGAGATCATTTATTTATAAGTGCATGTGCTATATGAAGGAAACTTTTTTTAGTTTTTTTTTTAATTTTTTTTGTAGTTTTTTTATTTTTTGTGTTTTTTTTTTTGTTTTTTGTTTTTTTTTTTGCATCGCTAGCGGCTAGTCCTTTCCATCCCAGGGCCCTACGTAAAGAAGCGGCTAAGTCGGGGAGGGAGCTGGGAGACGCCCTGGGCTGGGGCTTCGCTCGGGGGGCTCGCGGCGGCCACCGAGCCCCAAATCGGGTCGGGGACTCCAGGTGCCACCACGGAGAGCGGCGTGGGCTGCAGTGCGCGCCCAAATCGTCGCCCGGGGAAGATCTAGTGCAGCTGACTTAGGCAAAAAGAGTTCATTCCTTGAAATATTACAAAAATAATTTTATTTTTCTTCTTCTTCTTCTTCCATCAAGGGTTATTTATTTATTAACTTTATTTACTCATTTATTTATTTGTCAAATGGTGGGTTTTGCCACTCCGGTCTGGGAGTGGCTCACGCAAGAGATAATTAAAGAATTGTTTTCTTTTTCTTTCCTTTTATTAATACTGAATAGCATATTCCAGCAGCATATTAAAAGCTCTTTTAAGAAAAGACAAAAATCCCCAAAATCTAAAAAGGAAAACCACAAGTTAATTACCGTTTTAAATAATTTTAGTTATAGATACAGAAGAAATTTAGACAGCAGTAAAATATTTTTTTTTGTCCTTCAGATCTGCCCTGTGCATTGTTCTGATTTCAACCATGTATTAAATAAACCACAAAAAACTAAGTATATATATATTTATAGATATAGATATATATATAAAAATAAACAGCAAAATGGTGAATGTATAAAAGGTATTAACACTCAAGACAGCTCTGGGTGGAAAGGGTTAAAAGTTCAAAACTTTCTCACCTTAGAGGTTTCCATACAATATGAAGAAAATACATTGTGAGGTTTGCTTTCACAGCATTGATGTGTGCAGAGTGGTTAAAAAAGTGAAACATGGGCACTTGTACAATGTTTTACAAAAAACATCAAAGAGAAATAACAAACAATAACAATTTCAGGCAACAAGACCACAGGATAGCAAGTTAACAAACTTTTTAACCTCTTTTTTTTTTTCTTTAAATATTAGGGATTTATACAAAACACATAATAAAATACCCATGTTATCAAATTACTTCACACAAGAAACACACTGAAGCTCTAGGAAGAAAGTACCTTTGGAATTTGGCACTATAGTTTCACTGATTTTTTTTCTTTAAAAGAAAAACCGATCACATTTTGCTGAACACAAACACATCTAAATTGTTCACAATAAAAAAATGACATCAATGCGTCACAAGCCAACACAAACTTATTCTGGAATAGTTTTTAATTTTTCACATGAAATCCTTTTTTTTTTTGTTTTTTTTTAAAGCAAACAGTTTTTTTATGGTTTTTTTTGTTTTTGAATCTTGTTTTTTTTTGTTCCTGTTGTTCAAGTAAACCAATTTTAAACTCGTCCTTTATAAACATAGAACACTTAAGACCATAAGACTCATGATGAAACCACAACTTAATTCACAGAAGCACCAACGTAACACATTTTACAGTAACCTTTCTTCTGTACATTGAAACAGTATAAAATATAGGTAATTTCATGTGCATTAAACCATGGATTGTCTAACTGTGAGTCAGTTCAGCAAAAGGTGACACAAGTAGGTAGCATTTGCCCTAAAACAGGGTAAATATTTTCTTATACTAATCTACAAAAAGTGGTTCTATATATATACTTTAATGAGAAAGTGAGCCACCTAAAATGGCCTTATCAAAAAACTTTACACTGCCTGAAAAATGTAAAAACTATTACAGACCTCTAGAGACTTAAAATCAGACAGTTTTTATTTCTCAAACTGTTTTGGAAGTAGTCTGTTAGAAACCAACATTCTGTGCCTCTGGACACATATTGCTATTGTCACCAGTGACCAGGCAGAATGCCAATCCCTGTATAATACTTTCAAGTCTGTTTTTTTTTTATTTTTATTTTTTTATTTTTTACGAAATGAAAGGAAAACTGGAAAAAGAAACAACTAAACAAAGGAAAAAGAGAGAGAAGGAAAAAAAATGAAAAAAAAGGAAAGAAAGAAAACAACATTTTGCCACAGGTTATTATTTTTTTTTTTTAATCCTATCATTAATTTATCTAAGAAGAAATTTCAGTCTTGCATGATTGCAGCAATGGTTTGTGTTTTTTGTTTTTGTTTTTTTTGTTTGTTTGTTTTTCACATTGACTTCCCAGATTTCATAGCTAGATGAGGTCACATGCAAATCTCAAAAGGTCAGACTAGCTCAAAAGTCAGTAGGAGAACCAAACATGATGTGAGGTCAGAAAGACATCAGAAACAATGACGGGACGATGAAACTGTTTTTGTTTTTTTTTTTTTTTTTTTTTTTTGAGACGCCACAGGGACATGCTAGGCAAACGATGGGCTATGGAGATGTCTAGGGAAAAAACAAGGAAGAGGAAAAAAGGTTACACAGAATCTATGCAGCACAAACGGAAAATAACAAAAACAAAGTCACTTTTATGGGTGTAGGAGAAAACGAATGCAAATCTTTTCTTCTTCTTTTTTTTTTTTTTTTAATCAGTAGAGTCTAGGAGCCATTCACATAATTTGCATTAAACTCACAATATTTGTCAACACGAGCACGATGGAGCCCCAAGAGAATCCGCCTGCACAAGGAGCAGGGAGAACGGATTCCTCTTTGGGGAGAAAAGAGAGGAAAGAACTGTTTTCTACAAACGTAATGTGAAGGAATGGAATTGGGGAGGGGGAAAAAAAAAGAAAAAAAAAAAAGATCAGACAACTGAACTTTAAACTAGGTAATGGAAACTACGAACAAAATAACCAAGACAAATACAAACAGGAGGATAAAAGCGTGAACTGTAAAGGGTGGAGGGTTCAACAGTGAAAAAAACGCCCATTCTTGGCACAATTACTCTAGAGACTACTTCAAAGGATCTAGCTAGCACAGAGCTGCTCTTTAGGTATCCAATAAGTTAACAATAGGCAATAAATAACTTCCATTATTTCTGAGGCAGTAAAAATTTTGTATAAAAATAGAAATGCTTTTTACAAATAAAATTTACAGGCCTGTGGCTTTCTTTTTTTTATTATTATTATTAAATTTATCTCTCAAGAAACATCAAGTATTGTCGCTCATTTTATTTTATTTTTATTTTAAACCCTGTAGCTTTAGAAACAGATCTCTAAATCTTTTTTACATTAATACTTTCCAAAAAAAA